TTTATATGAGAAACCTAAAATCGGCTGTAGTTCCTTAAATAACGCTCCAATTGACTAAATAGTGAAAATCTGTGATCACTCATATTTCCCACCAAAAATCAATTTTTATAATGAGAAACCTAAAATCGGCTGTAGTTCCTTAAATAACGCTCCAATTGACTAAATAGTGAAAATCTGTGATCACTCATATTTCCCACCAAAAATCAATTTTTATATGAGAAACCTAAAATCGGCTGTAGTTCCTTAAATAACGCTCCAATTGACTAAATAGTGAAAATCTGTGATCACTCATATTTCCCACCAAAAATCAATTTTTATAAGAGAAACCTAAAATCGGCTGTAGTTCCTTAAATAACGCTCCAATTGACTAAATAGTGAAAATCTGTGATCACTCATATTTCCCACCAAAAATCAATTTTTATATGAGAAACCTAAAATCGGCTGTAGTTCCTTAAATAACGCTCCAATTGACTAAATAGTGAAAATCTGTGATCACTCATATTTCCCACCAAAAATCAATTTTTATATGAGAAACCTAAAATCGGCTGTAGTTCCTTAAATAACGCTCCAATTGACTAAATAGTGAAAATCTGTGATCACTCATATTTCCCACCAAAAATCAATTTTTATATGAGAAACCTAAAATCGGCTGTAGATCCTTAAATAACGCTCCAATTGACTAAATAGTGAAAATCTGTGATCACTCATATTTCCCACCAAAAATCTAATTTTTATATGAGAAACCTAAAATCGGCTGTAGTTCCTTAAATAACGCTCCAATTGACTAATAGTGAAAATCTGTGATCACTCATATTTCCCACCAAAAATCAATTTTTATATGAGAAACCTAAAATCGGCTGTAGTTCCTTAAATAACGCTCCAATTGACTAAATAGTGAAAATCTGTGATCACTCATATTTCCCACCAAAAATCAATTTTTATAAGAGAAACCTAAAATCGGCTGTAGTTCCTTAAATAACGCTCCAATTGACTAAATAGTGAAAATCTGTGATCACTCATATTTCCCACCAAAAATCTAATTTTTATATGAGAAACTTAAAATCGGCTGTAGTTTCTTAAATAACGCTCCAATTGAGAAAATAGTGAAAATCTGTCACAGCTTTAGTTGATTCGCATAATATTTATTCTCCCTAGCACATGACATTACGTCCTCTTGTCGTTTGAATAATGAATTGTGGGAGGATTTATGTATGTAAATAAATATAATTTATGAATTTAATTATATTTGACATACTTGCTGAATTAACTATTCCTTTATTATTAATTGGTTGTGTATTAACTAATTGATTATTTTAACCATAAACATTAATTTAAATTAGTTTGTCTTCAATTTTATTTATGTTAATAATTTTAAATTTTATTATTTCTATTGTGTATATATTGCTCTTTATATATTTTAATAGATTTTAATTTGCATTTTCAATTACATATATACTTTTTTATGTTATTATTCTTTTATTTAATTAATTTTTAAATTTAACACCTTTTCTTTTTATTTATCAACAACAATCGACTGCACTTACTTTTACACATCACTAGTGATAAAAAAAAACACACACCACTAAATAAACAAATAAACTTTGCCAGTTTCTTTTCTCATATTTTCGACCAAACTTTACACAAATATTTCTCTTTTATTTGCTCACTTTCATAAATATTTTTACATACTCACAAACTACACACTTTTGTTAAGAGTTTTATGCACTTTTACTTCAAAAAATAATAATTTTTAACAAAGAAATTAATTAATTTGCAACCGCGTACCACAAACACAGGCGCCACTTAATAAGGATAAAAGAAAACTGATGTAAATAATCAAAAATATTAGTTTGTTATTGTAGGCAGTGTTGCATTTTTGGGGCTTAAATTATTTAATATTAAATGGTCAGTGTCTTGGCTAAGTGTCATGTGATAGCAAAGGCCCGTTAATTGTAGAAATGCCCATTTAAGTTTGTTTCTGTTGCTTGTCGCAAAGGGCTATTGTTTAATAGTGGGGTTTTATTTTTTATAAAGAACTAAATAAATATTTTTTGTTGTTAGAATTAGCAGAGGCAGCCCTCAATTTTTTAGAACTGCAACAAAATAAGGCATTATTTTTCGATTATTGGAAAGTTCTAAAAAGTAAAAATTCTAAACAATTTTAAAGAATATTTTGAATTCCAATAATATCAGCACTAACCAGAACTAGAACTGAACAAGGGGTGAATTAGAACTAAAAAAGAATTTAACTGAACCAGAACTGAAGTAAAACTGAACTAGACTTGAAATAGAGCTGAACTTGAACTGAAATAGAACTAAACAAGAACTGAACAGAACTAGAATAAAACTAGAACTGAACTTAATTAGTTAATGAACTAATTTATCACAGCCTATTTTAGTCTATTAGCTGGTCTATCATCCAATTGAGAAAATTGTGAAAACTGGGATCACTCATAGTTTCCACCAAAAGAAAAATTATATGAAAAATCATCGATCGTCATTACTTAAATAACGTTCCAATTAACTAAGTAGTGAAATCTGTGATCACTCTTATTTCCCACCAATCTAAAATTGACTGTAGATTCTTTAAAAACACTCCAATTGAGAAAAAAGTGAAAATTTGTGATCACCAAAAGTCAATTTCTATATGAAAAATCTAAAATTTAATTTAAAACTGAATTCTGAAGCCGACATCCTAAGGGCTCAAGAGGAATAATTAAGGGCTCAATGACAGCACTGTAGAGAGCTAATTTAACATTTCGAACTAGAAATGATTACATACATACATACTTGCAAAAATTTAATTTGATTCACACCTGACATTACGCCCTTTAAATATAACGTAGTCTAATCCTACGTTATATATCTTTTGAATATTAAAATGTGGGCGATGTATGTAAATAAATAAGTATGTTAATTTATGAATTTAATTACATATATTTGACATACATACCTGCTGAATTAATTATTCCTTTATTATTAATTTGATGTGTATTAACTAATTGATTACTTTAACTTTAATCAATGATTTAAATTAGTTTGTATTTAATTTTATTTATGTATACATATCTATTGATATACATACATAGGTACACATTTACATTTTATTAGTATTTATATTGCGCATTTTAAATCTGTATTTACTTAAAAGATTTTTAATTTGCATTTAAATGATTTTCTATTACATACTTTTTTATATACACTTTTTATTTCACTTTTGAATTTTTTATTTCCATTCATAATTTAACATCTTTTCTTTTTATTTATCAACAGCTATCGCCTGCACTTACTTTTACACATCACTAGTGATAAACAAAAAACACACACCACTAATAACAAAATGAAAATTTGCCAATTTCTTTTCTTACATTTTCGACTAAACTTTACACAAATATTTCTCCTTTATTTTCTCACTTTCCATAAATATTTTTACATACTCACAAACTACACACTTTTATTAATAGTTTTATGCACTTTTATTAAAAAATAATACTTTTTAATAAAGAAATTAATTAATTTGCAACAGCGTATTGCAAACACAAGCTCCGCTTATTAAGGATAGAAGAAAACTGAAGTAAATAATAAGTTTCTTATTGTAGGCAGTGTTGCATTTTTGGGGCTTAAATTATTTAATACTAAATGGTAAGTGTCTTCGCTAATCTACATATGATATTAAAGGCATTTTAATGGGAGAAATGCCCATTTAAGTAGTTTTCGGTTGCTGGAAAATGAAAAATTATTTGAATATCTGCAAAAGGGTTATTGTTAAATGGTGGTGTTTTATTTTTTTATAATGAACTAAATATTTTTTGTTGTTAGAATTAGCAGAGACAAGCCTCAATTTTTTTCAGAACTGCAATAAATGGGGCATTATTTTTCGATTATTGGAAAGTTCTAAAAGTAAAAATTGTAGGCAATTGTGTGGGTCAACGAATATGTATTTTGAATTTTAATATGTAATCACATCACTTACCAGAACTAGAACTCATCTAGAACTATGTACAACTAAACTAAAACAGAACTAGAACTGAACTAGAACTGAACTAGACTGAACTAGAACTGAACTAGAACTGAACTAGAACTGAACTACTAACTGAACTAGAACTGAACTAAAACTGAACTAGAACTGAACTAGAAACTGAACTAGAACTGAAACTAGAACTGAACTAGAACTTGAACTAGAACTTAACTAGAACTGAACTAGAACTGAACTAGAACTGAACTAGAAACTGAACTAGAACTGAACTAGAACTAGAACTGAACTAGAACTGAACTAGAACTGAACTAGAACTAAACTAGAACTAACTAGAACTGAACTAGAACTGAACTAGAACTGAACTAGAACTGAACTAGAACTGAACTAGAAACTGAACTAGAACTGAACTAGAACTGAACTAGAACTGAAACTAGAACTGAAACTAGAACTGAACTAGAACTGAACTAGAACTGAACTAGAACTGAACTAGAACTGAACTAGAACTGAACTAGAACTGAACTAGAACTGAACTAGAACTGAACTAGAACTGAACTAGAACTGAACTAGAACTGAACTAGAAACTGAACTAGAACTGAACTAGAACTGAACTAGAACTGAACTAGAACTGAACTAGAACTGAACTAGAACTGAACTAGAACTGAACTAGAACTGAACTAGAACTGAACTAGAACTGAACTAGAACTGAACTAGAACTGAACTAGAACTGAACTAGAACTGAACTAGAACTGAACTAGAACTGAACTAGAACTGAACTAGAACTGAACTAGAACTGAACTAGAACTGAACTAGAACTGAACTAGAACTGAACTAGAACTGAACTAGAACTGAACTAGAACTGAACTAGAACTGAACTAGAACTGAACTAGAACTGAACTTAAACTTGACTATAACTATGTAAAAATATAGAATAATAAATTCCCCATCCTGAATTATTATTATGTATTTTTATTTTTATTAAAAACTATTATAAAATTATATTCTTTGAAATTTTAAATATTTACAGCCAGTGTACGACCCTTTCGTTTATACTTCCATACCGATGGTATTGAGGCACCCACCGATATCGATAATCGTGGCTTTGTTTGGATTATGTTCAACAACCCTGTACAAATGGTTTCTAAAACCTTTAAAACTTTTTTTTATCTAAATTAAACTTTTATTAAATACTTTTATTTTTAATAATTTTTATATTTATTTAAATAATTATAAGTTTTCGTTAAATTATTGAAATTATTTTTTGACATAGTTTCTATAAAGTAGTAAATAGTTTTTGTTTAAATTAATTTAATATACAGTATAATTGAAAATAAATTATAATTTTTTTATATTATTATAAATATAATTAAGCTTTTTACTTTAAATTTTTTTGTAATATTTTTGGTTTAAAAAAAAGAAGAAAATAAAAAATTTATTAAAAAAAATTAAATAAAAACTCAACAAAACAAATTAATTTGTATATATTTATAAATATATTAGCTTAATATTTTTAATTTTTAACAAAATTACTTATGAATTAGAATACTTAAATGAAATTATTGAATTTTAATAAAAAAAAAAATGAAAACAAAACATAAAAATTTAAAATAATAAAATCTCATTAGGAATAATTCTTTAAAACTAAAACTATTCTTTTGTTTTTCATAATTTATACATTTTGAAATCTTTTTTTTTCGATTTCTTAATCGTTGTTTTAAAAGTTTTACATTTTTATCGTATTTTTTCTAGTTTATTTTCAAACTGGTTATTGTTTTTTCATCTTTTCAATTCCTGTATCCACCTTTTGTTTATAGTTTTGAAACCATTTATATAAATCCTTTTTTGCTTGAGATCGTCTTTAAATTGTGGTTGGCTTATTTTTTTCCAACTTTGATTTTCAAAATTTTTCCGTATTCAGTCTGCTGTTGATTTTAGCATCAGTTGTTTTAATAAATATTTAGCAAAATCTTTAAAAATCAGTCAATTTGTTATAAAAATTCTTAATAGGTTTTTATTAAAGCTGCTACTTGTAGTTTTTCTTCTTCGGTTAAACCGTTCTTAAGAGTACGACGCACTGGAATGGAATAAAGTTGGAAATAAATAAGTTTTTTATTATAATAAGTTTTTTTTTTCAATATTTAACAGAACTGTGCAAATTGTTATAAAAATTTAAATTGTTATTATAAAATTCTTAGAGTAGAAAAGCTGTTAATTTTCTTAATTCAGTTTGTAAAAAATATTTAAGGAAAAATTTGATTACAACATGCATTTGTTAAGTCTTAAGTCCAGACAATAGTCCTGTCTATAGTCCAGACTATAGTCTTGTCTATAGTCCAGACTATAGTCTTGTCTATAGTCCAGACTATAGTCTTGTCTATAGTCCAGACTATAGTCTTGTCTATAGTCCAGACTATAGTCTTCTCTATAGTCCAGACTATAGTCTTGTCTATAGTCCAGACTATAGTCTTGTCTATAGTCCAGACTATAGTCCAGACTATAGTCTTGTCTATAGTCCAGGACTATAGTCAGACTATAGTCTTCTATAGTCCAGACTATAGTCTTGTCTATAGTCCAAGACTATAGTCTTGTCTATAGTCCAGACTATAGTCTTGTCTATAGTCCAGACTATAGTCTTGTCTATAGTCCAGACTATAGTCTTGTCTATAGTCCAGACTTAGTCTTGTCTATAGTCCAGGACTATAGTCTTGTCTATAGTCCAGGACTATAGTCTTGTCTATATGTCCAGACTATAGTCTTGTCTATAGTCCAGACTATAGTCTTGTCTATAGTCCAGACTATATATAATTCAAACTATAGCTTGCCTATAGCCCAGACTATAGTCTTGTCTATGTCTTGTATATAGTCTAGACTATATTCTGTCTATAGTTCCGGACTGTAGTCTTGTCTATAGTCCAGACTATCGTCTTGTCTATAAGTCCAGACTATAGTATTGTCTATAGTCCAGCTATAGTCTTGTCTATAGTCCAGACTATAGTCTTGTCTATAGTCCAGACTACAATCTTGTCTATAGTCTTGTCTATAGTCTTGTATATAGTCCAGACTATATCTTGTCTATAGTCCGGACTATAGTCTTGTCTATAGTTCCGACTATAGTCTTGTCTATATTCCAGACTTTAGTCTTGTCTGTAGTACAGACTATTGTCTTGTCTGTAGTCCGACTATAGTCTTGTCTATATTCCAGACTATAGTATTGTCTATAGTCCAGACTATAGTATTGTCTATAGTTCAGACTATAGTCTTGTCTATAGTCCAGACTATAGTCCAGACTATAGTCTTGTCTATAGTCCAGACTATAGTCTTGTCTATAGTCCAGACTATAGTCTTGTCTATAGTCCAGACTATAGTCTTGTCTATAGTCCAGACTATAGTCTTGTCTATAGTCCAGACTATAGTCTTGTCTATAGTCCAGACTATAGTCTTGTCTATAGTCCAGACTATAGTCTTGTCTATAGTCCAGACTATAGTCTTGTCTATAGTCCAGACTATAGTCTTGTCTATAGTCTTGTCTATAGTCCAGACTATAGTCCAGACTATAGTCTTGTCTATAGTCTTGTCTGTAGTCCAGACTATGTTTTGTCTGTAGTCCAGACTATTGTTTTGTCTGTAGTCCAGACTATAGTCTTGTATATAGTCCAGACTATAACTATAATTCTCTATAGTCTTGTCTATAGTCCCAACTTTATTCTTGTCTATAGTCCAGACAATAGTCTAGTCTATATTCCAGACTATAGTCTTGTTCATATTCCAGACTATAGTCTTGTTTATAGTCCAGACTATAGTCTTGTCTATAGTCAGACTATAGTCTTGTTTATAGTCCAGACTATAGTCTTGTTTATAGTCCAGACTATAGTCTTGCTTATAGTAGAGCCTATAGTACAGACTATATCTAGTCTGTAGTACAGACTATTTATTGTCTTGTCTGTAGTCCAGACTATTGTCTTGTCTATAGTCCAAACTATAGTATTGTCTATTCTAGCCTTTAGTGCAGATTATAGTATAGTCTTGTGTGGTCTATAGTTTGTCTCTATATTCTGGCCTGTAGAAAAAAAAGTGGTTCGAAAATGGATCTCTCTTTAACATTTCCTAAAATTACAACAAATTACATGCAATAAATAAAAACATTTAAAAAATTTACTTCGCATTCGTTAAGAATCAAAACGGGTTTTCTTAATTTAAATTTAAATAAAATACAAAAATATATACCAAAAGCAATTAAAAACTCATGCAAAAATTTACACAAAAAACAAACAATAAATATGAAGAAAAAAAATTTTAATAAAAAAACAAAATCCACTAACCATTAAAAAACTAAAATAAAATTATATTTATGAGTAATTGACGCGAAAAAAAACATTTCTCTATTGGCAACACACTCTAAAAAAATCTATGGCGATGGAACTCTTTCAACTGTAAATCCTTCGCGGGTACGTGAACGCTTCACTTCAGTTAAATGAATTTTCCAATTGGTTTTTTTGGGGAGGTCGGGGGAACACAGTATGAGTATGATGAAAATGGTTGGTTTTTTAAGGAAATTAGTATTATGAAGTTTTGTATTAAAACATTTATGATAAAGTTAAAATTCCCCATAGAAATATTAACAAAATATTAGAAAGGAAATAGTGAATGACAAGAGAGTTCAGTTAGAATAACCAATGGATATTGAAGCCAATGTTGTGAAATGAAAAGGAAATAAAAAAAATAGAAAACAAAATTAAAAATAAATTAAAAACATTAAGGTTAAATAAATTAATACTTAAAGAAAATAAAAACACCATTAACTCAACAACAAGTTTAAAGTTTTCAAAAACTTAACCAGTTACTGAGATAATGGGCGTTATTATATCGATTAAAATTGTAGTTAAATTGACAAATAGATAAAAGTAATCACAGCAGAAAATTGATTAAGGATTAATTTAAAATTATTTCGAATTTGGAATTATCTGCTGTGATTCTTATATAAAAACACAAAAAATTACTTTTTTTTAACATGTTTTCTAGTAAATTTTGATAATTTTTATAAAAATTGGAAATATTTTTTTTTTTAATTTATTGAGTTCTAATCTTGAGAGTGTTGTGTATTGAAAAAATTAAAACCTAAAGTGTGATAAAAATAAAAAAAAATAATGAAATTATATTCGTTTAAAAAACCATCACCCAAATTAAGAAATATTTATAAAATTTATTTAAATCGTACTATAAAAAGTAAAGAAAATATAAAACTTACATGATTTTCTATCAGCATGACGAGTACGTTTACGTTCTCTGGGTGTTGTTCTAGTGCCGGGGGCTTTGGTGGCGGTTTTTACTAAAGACTCTAAGATTTCGTCATCACCATCGGTGAAATTCTCTTCGCTTTGTCGCAAAACGGGTGAACGTAAATTTTCGGCACGTCGACGTCGCCAGGTTAAAGTACCATCGGGTGTATCGGCGTTGGGTGTGCCCAAAAGGGATCTGAAGGGAAATTATAGATTAATAAAATGAATTTACATTTAAAAATTTCAGTATATATGTAGTCAAGACTATATAGTCCAGTTACTATTCGACACTATAGTCTTCTGTATAGCTCAGACTACAAACTATATAGACTACAGCCGGATCCATTGTTCAGACTATAATCTTGTCAATAGTCCATACTACTGTCTTGCTATAGTCTTCCCATAGTCCAAACCATAATCTTGTCTGTAGGCTGGACTATAGTCTTGTCTATAGTCCATACTATAGTCTTGTTTATAGTTCCGGCTGTAGTCTTGCCTATAGTCCAGACTATAGTCTTGTCAATAGTCCAGACTATAGTCTTGTCTATAGTCCAGACTATAGTCTTGTCTATAGTCCAGATTATAGTCTTGTCTATAGTCCAGACTATAGTCTTGTCTATAGTCCAGACTATAGTCTTGTCTATAGTCCAGACTATAGTCTTGTCTATAGTCCAGACTACAGTCTTGTCTATAGTCCAGACTATAGTCTTGTCTATAGTCCACACTATAGTCTTGTCTATAGTCCAGACTATAGTCTTGTCTATAGTCCAGACTATAGTCTTGTCTATAGTCCAGACTATAGTCTTGTCTATAGTCCAGACTATAGTCTTGTCTATAGTCCAGACTATAGTCTTGTCTATAGTCCAGACTATAGTCTTGTCTATAGTTCAGACTATAGTCTTGTCTATAGTCCAGACTATAGTCTTGTCTATAGTTCAGACTATAGTCTTGTCTATAGTCCAGACTATAGTCTTGTCTATAGTCCAGACTATAGACTTGTCTATAGTCCAGACTATAGTCTTGTCTATAGTCCAGACTATAGTCTTGTCTATAGTCCAGACTATAGTCTTGTCTATAGTCCAGACTATAGTCTTGTCTATAGTTCAGACTATAGTCTTGTCTATAGTCCAGACTATAGTCTTGTCTATAGTCCAGACTATAGTCTTGTCTATAGTCCAGACTATAGTCTTGTCTACAGTCCAGACTATAGTCTTGTCTATAGTCCAGACTATGGTCTTGTCTATAGGCCAGACTATAGTCTTGTCTATAGTTCAGACTATCGTCTTGTCTATAGTTCAGACTATCGTCTTGTCTATAGTTCAGACTATAGTCTTGTCTATAGTTCAGACTATAGTCTTGTCTATAGTCCAGACTATAGTGTTGTCTATAGCCCAGACTATATTTAATTCAAACTATGGTCTTGTCTATAGTCCACACTATAGTCTTGTCTATAGTCCAGACTATAGTCTTGTCTATAGTCCAGACTATAGTCTTGTCTATAGTCCAGACTATAGTCTTGTCTATAGTCTAGACTAAAGTCTTTTCTATAGTCCAGACTATAGTCTTGTCTATAGTCCAGACTACAGTCTTGTCTATAGTCCAGACTATAGTCTTGTCTATAGTCCAGAATATAGTCTTGTCTATAGTCCAGACTATAGTCTTGTCTATAGACCATACTATAGTCTTGTCTATAGTCCATACTGTAGTCTTGTCTATAGTCCAGACTACAGTCTTGTATATAGTCCAGACTATAGTCTTGTCTATTGCCCACACTATAGTCCAGTCTATCATCCTGTCAATAGCACAGACTTGTTTATAGTCCAGACTAAAGCCTTGTCTAGTACAAACTATAGTCTTGTCTGTAGTCCAAGCTACAGTCTTGTTCATAGTCTAGACAATAGCCTTATGTATAGTCGAGATTAAAGTACATACTAGTCCAAACTACAGTCTTATCTATAGTCCAGACTAAAATCTTGTCTATACATAGTATAATCTTATCTATATTATAGACTATAGTTTTATCTTAAGTCCAGACAATAGTCATATCTATAGTCAAGTCTATAGTTTTGTCTGCAGCCTAGAATATAGTCTTGGCTATAGTCTAGGCTATAGTTTTATTTAGAGTCCAGATCAGTCTTGTTTATAGTTTAGTCTATAGTCGTACCTATAGTCCACATATTAGTTTTATCTATTGCCTAGACTCTATAGCTCTATCTAAGACTAAAGTTTTGTCTATAGTCGAGTCTATATTTCAGACTATAGTCTAGTCTATTGTCCAGGCTATAGAATTATCTACAGTCCATACTATAGTCTAGTATGTAGTCCAGACTATAGTCTTGTCTATAATCCAGACCATGATTTATTGTTCTACTCACTTTAATTCAGCATCTTGTTTATCTTCTTTGGTTTTAAATTTGGCAATATCGACAATCAATTTGCCTCTAGTCTTATTTCTTTCTCTATGATTGGCTTTCTTTTCGATTTGCTGTTGAACTCTTTCCCTAGTGGTGCGATATTCTAAAGCAAATTCGGAAACAATGCGACAGAATTCATTAGGTCTTGAATCGGCCACACTATGTTGAGGCACGCCCAACCACAATAAAAATTTGCGGTATCTAGAACAAAAACAAAAGAATTACAATTTTTCGATGAGATCCCTATAAAACCCTAGCTTACCTATTCATAATTCTGCGGTGAACAACTTGTAGAATAATAATTCTCTCAGCACAATCAGCTAAAAAGTCGACCAATTTCTGTTTCAACTGAGGTGGACAATCGTGTTTAGCTATTAACTTCAAACGATCCCAAGAAGCTTTGCATTCATGTTCCAACTGGGATAGATTATGAGCCAAATCATTAAAATCAGCCTTAGAGGCTCTGGTAATGGGACCAATTTCGGAATATAAATCTGTAGTTTCATTACCGGACTCCATGACCATGTGACACATATGGTGTAGTAGTGAATGTTTATGCACGGTATCTTTAACCTCGGGAACCTAGAGTGCATGATATAGAGTTATTTGCAGTTTGTTTAAGATGCTGAAATGGTTATGTTACCTTTGATAAGTATTCTATTTGGAAGCCCTTAACGGGAGCACCATTTAAAAAGATGCCCACTGATAGTAAAGTTGACAAAATACATTTGAATGTACGATTATTTTTAAGAATTTCAATGCCCTGTTTTAGGTCCATTAAAGGTTCAGCAATTTCTTTCTGAAAAAAATATAAAAAAGAAACAAAATTAATGTATTTTCAAAGCAGATCTATTAAAGCCGAATCCTAGGGAAATTTTAAAAAAAGGACAACAAATTTCGGAACATCTTTGAATTATTTTCAAGTTGTTCAACCAGAGATTACAAGCATGGATCTTCTTACCTCACTATTATCAAAATCTAAACGGAATGCCCATAATCTTAACCTAGCAGCCAATTCGGAGATTGAAGCCAAAGTTAATAAGAATTGTTCAGCACTGCCCAAAGGCAACTCTGGATTAGCCATCTGAAAAACACATCCAAGATTATTCAATAAATTCAAAAATTTCAATTTCACAAGGATTCCAAATACTTGACGATAATTACTTACCTGAGCTTCTTGTATTTTACCCTTCTCCTCGTCAGTGGGTAACATATTCAACAACTTATCGATACCCTCTCGCGTCACCACAGTAGCATCCATTTTCAAAATAGCCGCCTTAATGGCTCGCGGTGGTGGCAATTTTGTCATTGCAATATTGATAGCATTCGATCGTTTATGATCGAGTACAATGACTTCTTTGCTTTTATTCATTTCTTGTTGTTTCTGTAAGTTGGTTTAAGAAAATTGCCGTTTTATAATAAAGTTTAGTTTTTGATTAATGAATAGGTATGAGATTTTAAAATGGATATAAAGCAATTGGTAAAAAAAAACATTAAACATTATAGCAACAATGTGGTTCTAAAGTGTAAATGTTGAAATGATTATATTTGTAGTATATAAGTAGGAATGAAAGAAACCAGAGGAAAAATAAAAGAATAACTGAAATTGTATGAGTTATACATATTACCAACCCAATAATTATTTGGTTTTTAGCCAAGGAAGGAACTATTGATGTTACTGATGTGATTTTTCTAACTATTATTAAATCCGATAATGGCGGTGTCCTACACCGATAATGAAAGCATAATGTTATTTATAATAATAACTTGTTTGAAGTCCAGTACAATATTCATAATACAATATTTTCTATAGTCCAAACTATAGTATAAATTTCGAATAATTTATTACAAATCTTGTCTATAGACCAGACTATTTTCTGTTTCGACTGCTTATCAAGAAACAAAATTCCATATAATCTTGTCTATAGCCTCTACCAACTATCTATTGGATTTTGTTTCGGTTATAGTCTTGGCTTTTGTCCCGACTAAAGTGTTGAATATAATATCTTCCATAGTCTCATCTACAGTATCCTCTATATTCTTATTTGTAGTCCAGACCTACGCCTTGCCTGTAGTACATGCTATAGTTTTGTCCGTATTGCATCTTCTAAAGTATTTACTATAGACCTGTCTATAGTTCTACCTATAATCCTGACCATATTCTCGTTAATTCTTGTCTATAGGCTCTAGTTTTGTCAAAACTATAGACTTGTCTAAAGTTCTGACTATGGACTTGTCTACAGTTCTAACTGTAGTCTTGTCTCAAGTTCTGACTACGATCTTGTCTGTAGTCCACAAAATAATCTTATTTTAAATCCAGACTATTATCTATACCCTCGACTATAGTCTTGTATATAGTTCAGTATAGTCTATTCCATAATTCAGGCTACAGTCTTATCTATAGTTCAGTATAGTCTATTCTACAGTTCAGGCTACAGTCTTGTCTATAGGCCACACTGTAGTCTTATCTATAGCCCAGACTTTAGTCTTTTCTATAGTCCGGACTACAGTCTTGTCCATAATTCAGTATAGTATTTTCCATACCCCAGACTTTAGTCTTGCCTATACTCCAGAATATAGTCTTTTCTATAGTATTGTCTATAGTCCAGACTATAGTCATCTCTATAGTCCAGACTATAGTCTTGTCTACAGTCCAGACTATAGTATTGTCTATAGTCCAGACTATAGTATTGTTTATAGTCCAGACTATAGTATTGTCTATAGTCCAGACCATAGTCTTGTCTATAGTCCAGACCATAGTCTTGTCTATAGTACAGACCATAGTCTTGTCTATAGTCCAGACTATAGTCTTGTCTATAGTCCAAACTATAGTCTTGTCTATAGTCCAGACTATAGTCTTGTCTATAGTCAAGACTATAGTCTTGTCTATAGTCCAGACTATAGTCTTGTCTATAGTCCAAACTATAGTCTTGTCTATAGTCCAGACTATAGTCTTGTCTATAGTCCAGACTATAGTCTTGTTTATAGTCCAGACTATAGTCTTGTCTATAGTCCAGACTATAGTCTTGTCTATAGTCCAAACTATAGTCTTGTCTATAGTCCAGACTATAGTCTTGTCTATAGTCAAGACTATAGTCTTGTCTATAGTCCAGACTATAGTCTTGTCTATAGTGAAGACTTTAGTCTTGTCTATAGTCCAGACTATAGTCTTGTCTATAGTCCAGACTATAGTCTTGTCTATAGTCCAGACTATAGTCTTGTCTATAGTCCAGACTATAGTCTTGTCTATAGTCTAGACTTTAGTCTTGTCTATAGTCCAGACTATAGTCTTGTCTATAGTCCAGACTATAGTTTTGTCTATAGTCCAGACTATAGTCTTGTCTATAGTCCAGAAAATAGTCTTGTTTATAGTCCAGACTATAGTTTTGTTTATAGTCTCATCTATAGTCCAGACTAAAGTCTCGTCCATAGTCTAGACTAAAGTCTCGTCTATAGTCCAAACTATAGACTAGAATATAGTCTTGTCTTTAGTCCAGAATATAGTATTGTCTATAATCGAGAATATAGTCGTGTCTATAGTTCAGACTATAGTCTTGTCTGTAGTCAGATTATGGTATCTATAGTCCCGGCTATAATCTTGCCTATAGTATTGTCTTTATTTCGGACAGTAGTATTTTCTTTAGTCCTGCCAGTTGATATATCGGTAGTCCACCCTGAGGTCTTGTCTAAAGTTCTGACAATAGTCTTATTTTGGAAATGATCTTATGCTAGTTACATATATTGTTCATAATTCAAAGTTTTCATGAGATATGACATTATACCGATGAATAGGTAATCCCGTAATTAGAATTTATAGTTACCCATGCAAAATTAATTTTAGGTAAAAAAGTTTTCTACTATATTACTTTCTAATTATGGGCCAAAATACGATATGATCCTCTTAAATCAAAATTTTTTACACTTATGTAAACTATAATACAAATATTTTTAAAAATTATGTGGTAAAGATGACGGATATCAAAATACCCTGGTTCCTAAAAAGTGTCACAATATTGTTACGTTTGAATAGGTAATGGTACTCGTTTTCAGCAGATATCTCATTATAGTATTTGTTTGAAAATTGTGTATAGTTTTTAGGAACAAATATGTAATAACAAATTTACAAAAAAAAAAAAATGAATTATACAATAAGGAACGAAATGAAAAACATTTAACAAATATTTAATCAAAAACATAAAAATCAACAATAGGTGTGACGGGTTTAAGTTAACAATATACTATACTAATACTGAAGCAAGTAAGAGTACATAATTAAAGGTTTCAGAGTGTTGAACTTATAAAATTGTAAAATTTTTTTTTTAATTTCATATTTTAACAAAAGTTTTTATTTTTAAAACCAAAAACCAAGTGCAAAATAGTTCATGTGTTTATATGAGTGTGTGTGCAAAGTATTTTTTTTAAATAAATAACATAAAACCAACACCAATAAATGAAAACATTTAAACAATTTAACAAAAATTATGAATTTATAATTTATATTTTCTTTTTGAATTTGAAATTGCACTCACCTCCTAAAGGAGTTTTTTTAGAAAAAACATTTAACAAATATAATATTCAATTTATTATTATTATTTTTGAGAAGATTGAGTTTTAAATTTTTTTGTTTTAGAATAATAATAAATAATAAACATAGAAACATTCCGTTGGTAGGCACAAATTATAAAAAAAAATATATAAAAAATACAGAGAAAAAAAAGAAAGAATACATTAATATTTTGAAAACATATAGTATTTGACAGTTATAAATTTTAAATTTAATTAAAAGATTTAAATAGAAAAAAATATAACCAGCAAAATTTTATATTTCGAAATTGAAACTTGATCGTTCGTTTATCAGTAAAATGTAGAACGTTTCTACATTATCATCTTGCTGGCTATACTTTTTTGTTTAATTTAAAAAACCTTAGGCCGAATTTGTTAACAATAAACATACAAATTAGTCATTGTTTTTTGTCTTCTAAAAAGTCATTTCATTAATGTATTCAAAATTGGGCTGTGCGATATAAGGGGTCATAGTGGACTCTATAGATATATAAATAACTGGCATTTAAAAATTTCTGATTAAATTAGGTCATAGAGGATCTATCAAAAAACGAACTGGGTTTACAAATTTCTGATCAAATTAGGGGTCCAATAAGGCCTTTGGTATTTGGTATTAATTAAAGGTACATGTAAAATAAAATTGGAAACAATTTTACAAAATAACTATAGGACTACACTATAGACTAGATTATAGACCTAGACTATAGACTAGACGATAGACTAGACTATACTGGACTATAGACCAGACTATTAGACTAGACTATAGACTGGACTATAGACTAGACTATAGACTAGACTATAGACTAGACTATAGACTTGGCTATAGACTAGACTATAGACTAGACTATAGACTAGACTATAGACTGACTATAGACTAGGACTATAGACTAGACTATAGACTAGACTATAGACTAGACTATAGACTAGACTATAGACTAGACTATAGACTAGACTATAGACTAGACTATAGACTAGACTATAGACTAGACTATAGACTAGACTATAGACTAGACTATAGACTAGACTATAGAATAGACTATAGACTAGACTATAAACTAGATTATAGACTAGATTATACCCTGGACTATAGACCAGACTACAGACTAGACTATATTCCAGATTATAGACTAGACTAGTCTATAAACTAGACTATATACTAGACAATAGATAGTTATAGTCTAAACTGGAATGTAGACTTGACTGGACTATAGATTAGACTCTATACAATGTTTTATATTATATAGCCAAGAATGTATACTTGTCTATAGATTAGACTATAGACTAGACTATGACTAGACTACAGACTAGACTATAGACTAGACTGTAGACTAGACTGTAGACTAGACTGTAGACTATATTATGGACTAGACTACAGACTAGACTATAGACTAGACTATAGACTAGACTATAGACTAGACTATAGACTAGACTATAGACTAGACTATAGACTAGACTATAGACTAGACTTAGACTAGACTATAGACTAGACTATAGACTAGACTATAGACTAGACTATAGACTAGACTATAGACTAGACTATAGACTAGACTATAGACTAGACTATAGACTAGACTATAGACTAGACTATAGACTAGACTATAGACTAGACTATAGACTAGACTATAGACTAGACCTATAGACTAGACTATAGACTAGACTATAGACTAGACTATAGACTAGACTATAGACTAGACTATAGACTAGACTATAGACTAGACTATAGACTAGACTATAGACTAGACTATAGACCTAGAACTATAGACTAGACTATAGACTAGACTATAGACTAGACTAACTAGACTAGACTATAGACTAGACTATAGACTAGACTATAGACTAGACTATAGACTAGACTATAGATTGACTATGACTAGACTATAGACTAGACTATAGATAGACTAGTAGGACTAGATATAGACTAGACTATAGACTAGATCTAGACTAGACTATAGACTATAGACTAGACTATAGACTAGACTATAGACTAGACTATAGACTAGACTATAGACTAGATTATAGACTAGACTATAGACTAGACTATAGACTACACTATAGACTAGACTATAAACTAGATTATAGACTAGATTATAGACTGGACATAGACTAGACTAAGACCCGACTATAGACTAGACTATATACCAGATTATAGACTAGACTATAGACTAGACTAGTCTATAACTAGACTATATACTAGACAATAGATAGTTTATAGTCTAAACTGGAATGTAGACTTGACTAGACTATAGATTAGACTCTATACAATGTTTTATATTATACTATAGGCAAGACAGTAGACTTGTCTATAGATTAGACTATAGACTATACTATAGACTAGACTACAGACTAGACTATAGACTAGACTATAGACTAGACTATAGACTAGACTATAGACTAGACTAGACTACAGACTAGACTAGACTAGACTATAGACTAGACTATAGACTAGACTATAGACTAGACTATAGACTAGACTATAGACTAGACTATATACTAGACTATAGACTAGACTTAGACTATATTATGGACTTGACTACAGAATAGACTATAGACTAGACTATAGACTAGACTATAGACTAGACTATAGACTAGACTATAGACTAGACTATAGATTAGACTACATACTAGTCTATAGACTAGATTATAGACTAGGCTACACACTAGACTATGAACTAGACTTTAGACTTTACTATATTAAAGACTTTACACTAGACTATAGTAAAAATTATGGACTTAGGCAGACCTAATAAAATTTACAACCCAAAATGCTTCTATGTTCTGTTCTCGGTTTATTTGTGTTTTATTCCATTCAGATTCCAATAAAATATTCAATAACCCAAAGCGATATTTTTGTTTCAGTAGAAGGAAAAATTATAATCAACTTTAAACCAAAACTAGCCCTATAATATTTAGCCGTTAGGTAGATAGCAGTTTAGTAAATCACATACATAAATTAAAAGGCTCTCTTTGCATATATCGCACAGCCCTTAGACTAGCATTATAAGTACCTATAGATCTTATTTAAAAAAAATAGCAAAATTTACCTTTGTCATTAAATCTTTGGCTCGGGACTCAAACAAATGTTCTAATTTTTGTGTATCAACATTGGCGGCAGGTAATTCATCCCAAATAGTTTTACCCACAGATACGGGTATTAAATCTTCTCTAACCTCTTTCCAAAAGAGTTTGACCTAAGAAAATATTAAGTAAAATAAATCTCTACTATTTCGATAACTTCTGCTATAACTTACCGTTTTCTTATTTTTCTTAATCGTATTCATACTACTCATATCACCATTTATCGAACCATTCATGGAACTATTAAAACTATTCGTTAGACTGGCATTACCATAACCACTATAACTAAACATGGGTGGTGGTATAAGAGCACCACTACCATTACTGGTATTTGACATGGACATGGGATGATTCATGGGTGGTGGACACACTAAATGTGTAGGCATCATGGGTGGTGGTAGCGCCACACCTCCTATTGGGGGAGGTGGTGGTGGTATGCCTCTACCAAAGCCTCTGGGAGCTAATATATCCTTTTCGTCTTCCGAGTTCAGATCGGTAAAGTCGAGATCACACAAATTGAGTGGTCTTGAAATGTTGCGTACCAATTCTTCCCATTGTAGATCGTTTTCGGATTTTTTCGGTTCGGGTTTTTTGATTTCCTGATCGACACTAGAGGATCTGAAAGGAAAGGTTAATGAAGATTTGATTAAAATATTTTAGAATTTTGGAGAAAAGAATAGAGACCAAATTTGACTAGAAAGTTCAACACGAAATCGCCGTAAGACTATAGGCCAGACTATAGTCAATACTTTAGACCAAACAATATTCACACTATAGGCGAGAGGATGTCGGACTATAGTCAAGAACATAGGACTATGACAGACTATAGTCTAGTCTATATGATAGACTATAGGCCAGACTATAGTTAAGACTGTAGTCAAAACTATAGTCCAGACTATAGTAAAGTCTATAGGCCAGACTATAGTAATGACTATAGGCCAGAATATTGTCAAGACTATAGGACAGAATAGTGTCAAGATTATAGGCCAGAATATTGCCAAGACAATAGGCCAGACTATAGTCAAGACTTTAGGTCAGACTATAGTAAAAACTATAGGCCAGAATATTGTCAAGACAATAGGCCAGACTATAGTCAAGACTGTAGGCCAGACTATAGTATAGTCTATATGACAGACTATTGTGAAGACTATAGGCCAGGTTATAGTCAAGTCTATAGGCCAGACTGATGCCCAACCTATAGACAATACTATAGGCCAGACTTTAGTCAAGACTATAAGACAGACTATAGTCAAGACTATAAGCCAGACTATAGACCAAATTATAGTCAAGACTATAGTCAAGATTATAGGCCAGATTATAGTCAAGAATATTGTCAAGACTCTAGGCCAGTATAAAGAGAAAAATATAGTCAAGACTATAGCACACACTTTAGGCGATGCTATAGTTAAGACTATAATAGGCCAGACTATATTGAAGATCTTAGGCCTGACTATAGTTTCTAGTTTTTACAGATTTTCTTAAACTTGAATAAAAAAACGTTAAATTAATTTATTAAATAATAAAACAACAATTTATTTCACAATAAAAAAGGGGAAATGGATGGATAGAGACCAAATTTGACTAGAACTTTCAAGCTATATATCGCCTTAAGCATATTGAGGAGCATATTTCTCATAGGCAGCAACATAAGCAGCCTTAGCAGCATCTTGGCTCATGCCCTTATTAGCATTCCAGGCAGTCCATTTGGCGGAACCCTTAACATCAACAGCACTGGGCTTTTGGATATTGCAATCACCAGCAGTGGCTTGTTTATAGAGACCATAGAATTCCAAGAAGACCTCATTTGGAGGATTCTTGGTGAAAGACTTGGCTTTTTCGGAGGCGGTGGCAAACTTTAAGATATAATTTAGTAAATTAAAAATTCTTTAAACATTTTTGTTAATATGAAATACTCACATCCATTTTTATGTTTAGTTTAGATGTTACTTAGTTGGATTCAACGAAAGTACTATGTTTACACTGCTAAAAAATTGCTAATTTATAGCAAAATTTTTCACCAAATGCAATTTCACATTTTTAATTAGTAATTCATTATATTTTTTATAAACGTATATAATGTTTAAACTTTATTATTTAATAGATTATAACAAAAGTGCCCCCCAGATAAAGTATTATAAAATATAGATAATCGAAACAGAATTTGATAAAAAAAAAAGGGGAAAAGGTTAAACTGCATTTCAGCTAAAAATAAAAAAAAATGCTAAAATTTAGATTTCATTTTAATAAATTGCCAAAATAGTTTTCTATTGAGATTGATAAGATTTTTTTATCTTAACTTTATAACAGTTTGGTATTTATGTGAGACTGTTTGGGACTGCTAAGGAAACGTGACTACGAAGAAGTAACGGAAATATGTGGGGGACAAACTTTTAAGTGAATTGAAAAGTGTGATAAAAACAGATTTCCCACGATCAGTAAACAATTTTCGATGATTTTATTGATCACTGGAAATAGGTAGAAGATCACTGAAAAGATCAGCGCAAAACTTCCTAAAGAAAGGAGATTCCTAGAAAGATCTGTACACAATTTCCAAAGTGAAATATATCGTAAATGACATCAGCTTAAAGTTTCATATAAAATTTAAATTAAAATAGATCGCGATCGCTGGCAAAAAAATAGCTTAGAATACGAAATATATCACAGGAGAGATCAGCTAATCATTTCCCAGTAGATCAAGTACGATCAGCCTACAATATCTTATAGATGAGAGAGATCAGCTCATAATATTCCATAAAAAGTTGATCGTTGGAGAGATTATAGCTCACATAGGAAGTAGATCGCTGTAACGATCAGCTCATATTTTCCAAAACAATATAGATCGCAGGAGAGATCAACGAACAAATTTTAATAAAAATTAGATCGCTGAAGGGAACAGTCAACCATTTTTTATATAAAAAAGATCGCTATAAATATCAACTAATTTGTATTATACTAAGTAGATTGCTGATGAATTAAGCTCAATATCTCGCTGGAGAGATCAACTCATCATTCCCCTGTAGATTGCTGGAATAAGTAGCTCACAGTACGATCAGCCTACAATATCTTATAGATCGCATGAGAGATCAGCACATAATTTTCCATAAAAAGTGGATTGAAGGAAAGATAGAGCTCATATAAGAAGTGGATCGCTAAAACGATCAGCTCACACTTTCCTGCACGATAAAAATGAGATCGCTTTTTCCATAAAAAGTGGATTGATGGAAAGATAAGCTCATATAGGTAGTAGATCGCTGTAACGATCAGCTCATATTTTCCAAAACAATATAGATCGCAGGAGAGATTAACGAACAATTTTTAATAAAAAGTAGATCGCTGAAGGGAACAGTCAACCATTTTTTATATAAGAAAGATAGCTATAAAGATCAACTAATTTGTATTATACTAAGTAGATCGCTGATGAATTAAGCTCAATATCTCGCAGGAGAAATCAAATTATTCAGATTGCTGGAACAAGTAGATCACAGTACGATCAGCCCACAATATGTTATAGATCTGATCTGAGTGATCATCTCATAATTTTCCATAAAAAGTGGATTGAAGGAAAGATAGAGCTCATATAAGAAGTGGATCGCTAAAACGATCAGCTCATACTTTCCTGCACGATAAAAATTAGTTCGCTTTTTCCATTAAAAGTGGATTGATGGTAAGATAAGCTCATATAGGAAATAGATCGCTGTAACGATCAGCACTCACTTACTTGCACGATATACATTGTAGATCGCAGGAGAAAACAACTAACAATTTCTAGTAGCTTACAGTACGATCACCCTTATGCTATAGATCGCATGAGAGATTTGGAATTAAAATTGTAAAATTAAAATCATTTCTTCTATAATTTTTTCAGAATTTTCTCTTAAATTATCATCTATTTTTTTCGAGTGTATGTATAATTGCATACACAAGTTTATTTTTAAATTTCAATGTATTTCCTTTACTAAATTTTCAAACTTTTTGATAGCAAGTTGTCGAAATAATAATGATGATGACAATATATTTATTACTTTCTTGCCCACATATGAATAAAAACACTTGCATTGTATATATATACTAGTACATATTCGAAAACCTGATAAGCCTTAGCAGGGCCACATGTCTTTAGGCTAAAAGTCGTTATTGGAACTATCACCGCCTTCTGCAGAGATAAGAGAATTGGTAACCACCGGTTTATTGAAATGCCGGTGTAAACTTGCGAATGTTTTATAGGTAGATATGTGTATATTTATTTTAGATTTGAGTTTGATAAGATTTTGATTAGACTAATTGGAAGCAATTAAATGACAGTAGTTGATAAATATTTAAAAAAAAAACTTAAAAGAGAAGTTAGGTTATTATAACATACAGTGAGTTTGAAAAGAAAGTTTTTTTTAGTTAAAAGTCATATTCATTTGTGATGAATATATAGGAGATCTATAGAAGAAAATCAGTTCTTAAAAGAAATAATAGAACTGATGAAATCTTATAGAAAATAGTTTGTAAAAAAGATAAAGATCATTACTTTCTGATGATCATTTTCTAAAGCAAATAGATTGCTGAGAAGTTTATCTCAAAATCTCTTAAAGAAAATAGATCTCTTAAAATGTCTATAAGAAACACATTGCCGATAATTTCAAAGAAATATACATGCCTGGTACCAATTTGACACCAAAGAGTTTATAATTTTTCAATAACATCCGTTGTCAACATACGTGCGACAACACTATGTAATGTTGACAACGCAACGTTGTCGTTCTATTCGTTGTCGAAATATAAACTTTATACACATCCGTTGTCTAAATGTTAACAAACGTGGTAAGCTCACTATTGGCAACGGATTGTTTGTCAATAGTGAGCTTACTACGTTTGTTAACATTTAGACAACGGATGTGTATAAAATTTAGATTTCGACAACGAATTGTTACAATGTTGTCAACATTACATAGTGTTGTCGTACGTATGTATATCAGGCTTGGGGGTAATGACTACATTTTCAATTACAATTGAAGTAATTGTAATTGAAGCATTACCAATTACAATTACATGTAATTGTAATTGAAGTTTTGCCAATTACAATTATTTTTAATTGTAATTGAAGTTTTGCCAATTACAATTACTTGTAATTGTAATTGAAGTTTTGCCAAATACAGTTACTTGTAATTGTAATTGAAGAAATTCCATTACAATTACAAATAATTGTAATTATTACAAATAATTGTAATTAGTTATTTGTCAATTACACATTACAAGTAATTGTAATTGGAAAATTTTCAATTACAATTATAAGTAATTGTAATTGGTTATTTTTCAATTACACATTACAAGTAATTGTAATTGACCTTGTAATTAATTACTTTGTGTAATCTTACCCCCCATGCCTGATGTATATACATATTTTGACAACGGAGTGTATTGAAAAATTATAAACAGTTTGGTGTCAATTTGGTAACATGGTATTCCGCCCGTTATTTACCCGGCAGTTGGAAAAATTTTGGGTAAATACTTTTTTAAATCAGCTCAAAATTCTCTATAGCCGCCATTTACAAAAGATGAGAAAATCAAGAAGATCGTTAAAGAGATCGTATCACAATTGTAAACAGTTTCTTATACGATATGTAAGGTAAAACCGATCGTCTAGCTATTTTCCTTAGTAAATAGATCGCTCAAGAGATAGACTCACAATAGAACTATGAAAAGATCTCGCATTTTTGTTAAGGAAATTAACTGCTGGAAAGATCAACTCTCAATTTTCTATAGGAATTACATTCAACGATCGAATGAAACAAATGTAATCTTACTATGAACATAATAGTAATGTCCATAATTTAATTAAGAAACATTTTTAGCTGATCTGTTTAGCGATCTATTTGAGCTGTTACTCTCAAGTGATCAATTTTGATCAGTTTCCTTAAGGAATTCTTAAACCAAAAGGTAAAAAAATACCTTTCAGATATTTCGATCGTTCAACAGCTAAATATGAAATCTAATAAATTCTCTGAGGCAGCGGATCGTATAGCATTTAAAGGATTTTTCTTTATGAAATGTTTTGTTGTAAAATTATATTTTAGTAATTTTATTTTTGTTACATTTTATTCAAAATTTTTATTTTCCGTAAAAATTAGTTCAAAATTTAAGCATATTTGGGAGCATATTTTTGGTAGACAGCAATATAGGCCTGTTTGGCGGCATCCTGAGACATACCCTGATGTCTAACCCAGGCATCGTATTTAGCTTTGGCAGTCAAATCTGTTACACCAGGTTTGGCAATGTTGCAATCACCCACAGTGGCTTGTTTGTAAAGACCATAGAATTCTAAAAATTCCTCATTTGTAGGTTTCTTGGTGAAAGCTTTGGCTTTTTCGCAGGCAGTATTGAACTATAGGAAAAGTAAATATTTCATATAAAAGTACGACTTTTTTGGGCCTAAAAATACTTACATCCATTTTGTTTTAAAGTTTTGGACTAATTACTTTGATCTTTACAATTGCAATACAATTTTGAACTGTAGCTATTGCTAAGACTTTCTTGAGTTTTTATAGCATTGTTTTCGATTTCTAGAAGTGTTAGTAATTCCTGTATTATAAAGTTAAATGTTATCTTTGGATTATCTATTTGATTTATTGGAACTCAATAAATCATTGCATTTCATTAATATGATTTTTATTTCCTATAGGAAAGCGATCTCTAAAAAGTCGACTCATAGTTTTAAAGGAAAAAGATCGATGCGAAGATCAGTTTTAAATTTCCTATAACTAGGTTATATTTATTCTGTAAAGTGTTAACCAAAATTATGGAACTTCTTGTACTGTTCATATTGAAAATTTCTATCAATTCGTAGTGCTAAGAATTATGTAATTTGTTCAGCATGATTTCCTAGAACTTATAGCTTTTTAGTTAAATATTTAAAGACCATTTTATTTTAACCAACAAAATTACCCAACATAAAAATCAAATTTATTAACTTTGTATTAAATGCAATGATTTATTAGGTTACAATAAATCAAATAGATAATCAGGTGATAAGATTTAAACCTATAATACGGCAGCTACTAAAGCTTCTAACAAACGACTATAAAAACTCTAGAAAATCACAGCAAGAGATACAGTTCAAAATTGTCTAACAATAGTAAAGACCAAAGGAATAACTCATATTCAAAATGGATGTAAGTATTTCTGGGTCCAAAAATATATCGAATTTTTAATTCAAATATTTCTATACCTTTAGTTCAACACTGCCTGCGAAAAAGCCAAAGCCTTCACCAAGAAACCCACCAATGAGGAATTTTTGGAATTCTATGGTCTCTATAAACAAGCCACTGTAGGTGATTGCAACATTGCCAAACCTGGTGTAACCGATTTGACTGCCAAAGCTAAATATGATGCCTGGGTAAGACATCAGGGTATGTCTCAGGAGGCCGCCCAACAGGCCTATATTGCTGTCTATCAGAAATATGCTCCTAAATATGCTTAAACTTTTAAATTTTGTTTATGTCGAAAGAAATTTTTTTAATAAATTGTTTAAAATTTAATTATTAATACAAAAATTGCAAGTGTGTTTTTAAGTGATAAGACATTATCTAGAATTTAAATTAAGTGCAAGCACAATTTGAAAACAAGATAATTAATAAAAAATATTGGCAAAGTCCATAAAATGTGTTAAGGGTCTGCTACTAAATATTAAAAGAAGTTTACATTAAAATTTCTATTAAAGTGATCACTTTAAGTTTTCTTTTTCAAAATTTCTATAAATTTAAAGAAATAGTTAGAGTTTAAAGCATCAAGCAGAAATTCGATAATAAATCTGATCTTTAAAATGATCAGATTTAATTATTCTAGAGATAGATCAGCTCAACGTTTCATAAAGATCAATCAATGAAGAGATAAGATCAAAAATTCCAAAAGTTAGGTTATAGCTAAAACTAGCAGCTCGAAATAGTCCAAAGGAAAATGATTGTTGAAGAGATCAGCTTCAAATTTTATAAAGAAAAGTGATCAATGATGAAGGTCAAAATTTTTAAAAGTTTAGTGATCGCTAAAAATAGCAGCTCTAAATATTCTCGCAGAAGAGATAAGCTCAAAATTTCCTAAAGGAAACTTATCTCTGAATACATAAGCTTTAAATTTCATAAAGAAAACTAATGGCAGCTTAGTGATCGTTAAAAGATTAACATATAATTTCCTAAACTGATCGCAGAAAATATTTTCTTTAAAAAAAAACTGATCGATGAAGAGGTCCGATCAAAATGTTCATTATGACTGAACGCTAAAGATAACTCCTAAAGAATCCGATCGCTAAAAAGAACGACATTAAATTTCCAAAAGAAAAGTGATCTCTAAAAGGGATAAGCCCTAAATTTCCTAAACAGAACTGATCGCTTAAAAGATAAGCTCAGCGGTCGCTGAAATGTTCCAAAAGAAAGTGATCGTTAAAACATCACCTCAGATCAACACAAAATTTATTAAAGCAAACTGATCGCAGAAAAGATTTTCTTAAAAAAAAACTGATCGATGAAGAGATTATTCCAAAAGAAATTCGATCGCAACATTAAATTTTTTTTCCAAAAGAAAAGTGATCTCTAAAAAGGATAAGAACTAAATTTCCTAAACAGAACTGATCGCTGAAAAGATAAGCTCAGCGTTCGCTGAAATGTTCCAAAAGAAAGTGATCGCTAAAAAGATCACATCTAAATATCATGAAGGAAATTGATCGTTAAAGAGATCAGATCTACACAAAATCTTCCAAATTAAAGTGATCGTTAAAAAGATTAGCTTTAAATTTCCTTAAGAAACTATAATCACTGAAGAGATTTCCTCAAGAATTGTGATCGCTAAAAAGTATGGTATAAAATTTCCGAAAGGATAGTGATTACTGAATAACATGTTTTAAATGCCCTAAAGGAAACTACTCGCTGAAGAGATCAGCACAAAGTGTTTCAAAGGAAAGTGATCGCTAAATAGATCAGATCTAAATATCCTAAAGGAAATTGATCTCTGAAGAAATCAAATGCAAATTTCTTAAAGGAAACTAACTGATCGTTAAAAAGTTATGCTCTAAATTTACAAAAAAAAAAAAAAAAAAAAAAAAAAAAAAAAAAAAAAATGATCGCTGAAAAGTTGAGATAAAAATTTTCTTAAACAAATCGATCGCTAAAGATATCAGCTAAAATTTTAAATGATATGTTCCAAAGGAAAGTGATCGCTAAAAATACTAGAACTAAATATCCGAAACGAAATTGATCGCTGCAGATATCAGATCCATATTAAAGTGATCGCTGAAAAGATTATCTCTAAATATTCTGCTCAAAATGTTTCAAAGGAAAGTAATATCTAAAAAGATCAGATCTAAATATACTAAATGTAATTGATTCCTGAAGAAATCAAATGCAAATTTTTTAAATGAAACTGATCGCTGAAAAGATTAGCTTTAAATTTCCTAAAATAAACTGATCGCTGAAGAGGTCAGATACAAATTTTCTTAAACAAATTGATCGATAAAGAGATCCGTTAAAATTTCAAACGTTGCTAAATAACTTAGAAAAGAACTTGCTCGCTAAAGAAAACTGATCGCTTGACCCCCTCAAAATTGCACAAAGGAAACTGATAGCTAGTTATATCAAATGTTTTTCTATTAAAATAATCTTTTAAATTCTAATAACTACGTAAGAAACTTAAAATAATCACTTTTATCGCTTAATAATAATCGATCGCAATTTGAATAAATATTATGAATATCAATTTTGCATTTTATCAAATTTAAAAAAAAAAAGGAAATAAAAACTTATCACAAAAAGCATAGAAGATCATAAACATATAAGAAACAACAACATACTTCCTGATAAGCTAAACAACATATTAAATTTAATAGGAAAGCTATATCACTAAACTATATAAATAATTGAATTTGAAACAATTACCCACATATTCATTAACACTTTAGTGTAAACGACAAGTGGTAAGTTAAAAGAAATCTACATTTTATAAAAGCCAATAAATTTTTAAAAATTAATTTTTACATTTCAATTTCCTGCCACCATTTGGGGACCTTTTTCTAAACAGAATTTAAACAAACATGGATGTAAGTTTGAACATATCTGAAATTGATTGATTTGAAAGCAAAAATTTTCTTTTCTAGTTCGACACCGCTACCGAAAAAGCCAAGTCTTTCACCAAGACTCCCCCAGATAATGTATTCTTGGAATTCTATGGTCTTTACAAACAAGCCACCGCTGGCGATTGCAACAGCGATAAACCCGGTGTTTTGGACTTGAAGAACAAAGCCAAATGGGAAGCCTGGAACAGCCATAAGGGCATGAGCCAAGATGCTGCCAAGGCTGCTTATATTGCTGCCTATGAGAAATATGCTCCTCTTTATGCTTAAATTATGGATTAGACTTCTTTTTAATGACTAGGACCCTGTAAATATGTGATAAATAAAATAATTGTTCTAAAACTACACACTCACCTTGACATTTCGCCTTTACTTTTACTCTTTGCCAGACCCTCTTTCGCTTTCGATATTAAACCCGACATATCGCCAACAATACGGTTTTGTAATTTATCATCCTGTGTAGGACTTGTGGGTAAATTACATAGTTTCTGGGTTAAATCTTTAACAGTGTGATCACGTTTTAGTTGTAGTAACAGTTTTTTATCCTCATTATCGGATTCTAGTGGGAAATCGATAGATAATTAGTTTAAGTTATAGTTTTGGGGGGTGGAAGGAAATTTAAAACATTTTTTTTAAATAAATAGTTTATAGAGAAAGTAAAAATAATGTTAAAACATATATTGATGCTGATCGTTAATTAATTGCATTATTAAGCCGCAATATAGTTAAAAAATATGAATATGAATGAATTAAAACGTTTAAATATTTTAAAAGGAGACAAATTACAATTGCAAAGACAAGGAAAAGGAGTTTTAATTTCTTTTAAGGCAGATCGCCAAATAGATCGGTTCAAATTTCTTATAAGAAGCAGATCACTGCAGATCACCTCATAGTTACCTAAATGAAACAGATCGCTGAAGAGATTAATTCACAATTTCCTGTAGGAAAAAATATCTTATAGAAAGCAGAATGCTGAAATGATATCAGAAACAGATCTCAGATTACCTCTCAATTTTCTCTAAGATACAGATCTTTAAAGAGATTAACTCAAAATTTCCTATAGGAAACTCATTGCTGAACAGATCAGTGCACAATTGACTATAAGTACCTGATCACCTAAGAGATCAGCTCATAGTTTTCTATCGCAAACAGATTGCTGAAGAGATTAGCTCTCAATTTCCTATATAATACAGATCTTTAAAGAGATTAACAATTTCCTATGGGAACCTCATCGCTGAACAGATCAGTGCACAATTTACTATAAGTAAGAGATCACCTAAGAGATCAGCTCATAGTTTTCTATCGCAGACAGATTGCTGAAGAGATTAGCTCTCAATTTCCTATAGAATACAGATCTTTAAAGATATTAACTCACAAATTCCTATGGGAACCTCATCGCTGAACAGATCAGTGCACAATTTACTATAAGTAACAGATCACCTAAGAAATCAGCTCATAGTTTTCTATCGGAAACAGTTTGCTGAAGAGATTAGCTCTCAATTTGCTATAGGAAACAGATCTTTAAAGACGTTTACTCATAATTTAGTATAGTAAACTCATCGCTGAACAGATCGGATCACAATTTCCTATAAGGAACAGATCGCCTAGGAGATCAGCTCACAATTTCTTATAGGAAACTGAACGTTTAAGAGATACGCTCATAGATTGCGGAAGAGATCACCTTGAAATTTTTTATAGGAAATAGTTTGTGGAAGAAATCAACTAGCAATTTCCTATAGGAGACAGATCACTGAACATAGCAGATCACTATTCCCTTTAGTAAAAGGATCGTTAAAGAGTTTTGCTAATAAATTACCTTCATTAAGCAGGTCGAGGAATAGATAATCTAAACATTGCTTTAGGAAACAGATCAGATAACGATTTCTTTTATAAAACAGATTTCTCTTATAATTTGTTTTAAATAATAGATCGCTGAAGAGATCAGCATATAATTTTCTATAAGCAATAGATTGCTGAAGAGAACTGCTCTCGAATTTAGAATTAAGAAATAAATCACTAAAGGGATCAGTAGACAACTTTAGTCCACAAATTTCCTTCATGAAACAGCTCTGGAAATAGATCAGCTAAAAATTTCCTATAGGAAACAAGATCAATGATAAGATCAGCTAACTATTTCCTTTGGGAAACAAATCGCTCAAGGGATCTGATTCTATACGAAAAAGATAACTGATGTGATCAGCACTCAATTATCTATACGACAGTTTGAAGTAGAGATCAGTTTAAATTTTACTATAGGAAACAGATCGCTAAAATGATCAGCTAACAATTTCCTTTAGATACAGCATACAATTTTCTATAAGAAATAGAACGCTGAAGAGATCAGCTCTCAAATTACTGAAAAGATCAGTGGACAGTTTCTGCCCACAAATTTGCTTCATGTTTAGGCCAAGGAATGGATCATTTAAAAATTGCATGTAGGGAACAGATCACTGTAAAGATCAGCTAACAATTTCTTTGGGAAACAGATTAGTCAAGGAATCTGCTCATATCGCTGAACAGATCTATTACAATTTCCTATATGAAGCAGAACGCTAACAATTTCTTTGGGAAACAGATCGCTCAAGGAATCTGCTCACATTTTATGGGAAAAGATCGCTGAAGTGATCAGACCACAATTTCCTAAATAAAACAGTTCGCAGAAGAGATCAGTTAAAATTTAACTATAGGAAACAGATCGCTAAAAATACCAGCTAACAATTTTCATTAGATAGTGTGTCGCTGAAGAGATCAGCTAAAAAAAATAATAATAAATGGTTGAAAAGATCAGATCATAAATTTCTTTATGAAATACATCACTAAAGAGATCAGTTAACAGTTCTCTCTAGGAAAAAGATCGCTGGAGAGATACCTATAACAAAATATATATCTTGGGAAATCAATAAAAGAGAAATAGAAGTGAAGCGAAGCGAATATAATCTCCTGTCTTTGCAATTGCAATTTTTAAATCTCCCTGTTTATTTAACCTAAAAAAAGAACTTACCATTAATTTGTAATAGATCAACTGGTTGATCACTGTTGCTGTTAAGATTATTATTAGTAGTATTTACCGCGTTATTGGCTTGATTGGAATTTGGAATTATATTATTAGTAGTTGTATTTTGATTGTAGCTCATATTGTTGCTGTGTTGGTGGTAAAAATAAGGTGGTGGTGGTGGAGGTGGAGGCGGTGGAGGCATTCGCATATTATTAGCATAACCCCATAAATCTGGTGGTGGAGGTGGCGGAGGTGGAGGCGGTGGTGCCACTGATGTTGTGGTCGTTATTGTGTTATTATAAGCATTTTGTACAGGATATGAAACTGTAGGTGACATAACGCGCTGTCGTGTTGTTGAAGGGGTACTATATGTTGTTGCTGTTGTTATATTATCCTCCATTGTTGTTGTTGTTGTTGCTGAGGCTTTCACAGGCGTAGTATGGGGTGTAGAGGTTTGAGGTATATAATCAAAACCAGATGCTAAAGTAGGATTAGTCATTGCTGTAGAAGTTGTGGTAGAATTTAAAGTTTTCTTTGGACTTGAATTTAGAGAGGATAAATTGTGTTTTATAGGCGAGGTGGTCGTGGTGGTGGGTGACTGTATAGATTGTTGGTGTTGTAGTTGATTCTTTGGTGTACTATTGTTGATTTGATTGTAGTAGGTGTTCAAACGATTCGCATCATTTTCAAATTTCTTATAATTTACAACATTATCACAGTGATTGGCATGAAGATTCGTTCCATTAACGACTGCAACTCCCTCCAGATTATTTGTCTCTGCGGTGACATTGTGACGTTGAATATTCTTCATGAGGCCATTGATGACAGTGGCATTACGTTCCATGAATAGATTTTTCTTATTGTAAAATTCCGCCGCTGGTGATGTAGCTGCGGTAGCATTAACATGGTGGTTGAGGTGGTGTTGATGATGTTGCAATTTATTTGTATTGGATTTATCAAAGGAATTGTTGATAATTGAAATGGTATTGGTACCCAATAATTGTTTCGTTGGACTCAATAGATTGATGTGATTGTTGTTGTGTGTTGTAGTATTGGAATTGGTAATGATGTGGTGGTTGTTGTGATTGTTGGTTATAAGAGCATTGTTATTGTTAGTAGCATTTGCATTGGCAGTTGCATTGACAATGACATTTAAATTGGCATTAACATTAGAATGATTGATTGTATTGTTATTATTATTATTACTATTGATTTGATAAGAATGTTTGAAATTATTATTATTATTGTGGTTGTTGGTATTGGTGATATGATTGTTGTTATTATTGTAATTGCAATTATTCTCATTTATGATATTTAATGATTCTGGCGGACTGTCGCCATTTTTCAATGTCACTGGTATGGCGGTAACAAGTTGTCCTTTTGAACGAGGGGGATTTGATAAGCATTCACATGATTTTTTTTCCGTTAAACGAGCCAATACAAAATTTGTGAAATGACATTTTATTTTGTTTAAATAGGAAAAACAACAACAAAAAAACGGAAACGAAAACGAAAACAAAACAAAAGAAAGAAAAAATGTAGAGTGATTACACATGGATGATATGGCGGTAGAAGGATAAAGGGGTTAAATTATGTTGATTTTTTTTATAAAATTTTTTGAAAAACCAAAATTAGAATGATTTCTTAAACAACACAAGAGTTATTATATAGTATTTATTGTTTTTTGGGGAGAAAACTTACCCATATCTTCTCTTTTATCGGCCGAATTCATATAACCATTAGCAGCCACCGCTGCAGCAGCTTCCTGTTGCTCTTTAAGGAAACTACGATGTCTCTCGGCTCGTTCACGACGACGTCTGAGACCAGGTGTAACACCAGCACCATCACGGGCTAAAATTGAAAAAAAACCACTTAAGAAATTTCCGAAGTTTAACAAATTTCTCTCTACTCACGTTTCTTTTCCGCAAAAACCCCACCACTAAATTCCGCCGAATTCGTTGAACTCGAACTATCCTCATCCAAGGCCGGTTGGGTGGGTGTTAAGCGCATATGAGTGGGTAGGACTTTATTTATATTACCAGGACTAGTGCCCGTGCTATGACGTCTTGATTTTCGACGTTCAGCCGTATCGGTAGAACTGCGAAAACGTTGAGTCTTACGTAAAGTGTTGTCGGGCAGTCGGGTACCATCCGATTCACCGTCTTCAAATCTAAAAAAAAATAGAAATAAATTTAAATAATAATCTTTTCTTAAATATGGAATAAAAAAAACCGTAACCACACTTACTTCAATACTGCTTCATAAAGTTGCAATTGATTTAATAGATCCATATCCGTTCCCGGTTTGGACATATAATGTTGTATCACAGATTCCATACCTTGTTGTTCCAACAAATCACTTTCATCGTAAAAACTATCTTGATCATTTAAACCCTCTAGGGTTTTATTGATAAGCGAAGCAGCATATATTACCAATTCAGCATCGGCATTATCGTAGTCTTTTAAAAAAGTCTGAAATGTTGAGTAAAAAAGAACAATTTGAAAAGTGGTTCATACATTTTTTGGAATTAGAGTTGAAAAATTATAATAAATTGCAACTTTTCTCTGCCTACAACCGATTATCCAATGACTATATACTCGACTATAGTTCAGACTATAGATTAGACTTTAGTCCAGGCTAATACTTGACAAAAAAGAAAACTACTAATTAGACTGAAAACTAGACTATTGATTAAATAACAGAGAAGACACAATAGACAATAGACTATACTATAGACTAGACTATAGACTAGACTAACAGACTAGACTATAGACTAGACTAGGCAATAGACTAGACTATAGACTAGACTAGGCAATAGACTAGACTATAGACTAGACTATAGACAAGACTATAGACTAGACTATAGAAACTAGACTACTAGACTATAGACTAGACTATAGACTAGACTATAGACTAGACTATAGACTAGACTATAGACTAGACTATAGACTAGACTATAGACTAGACTATAGACTAGACTATAGACTAGACTATAGACTAGACTATAGACTAGACTATAGACTAGACTATAGACTAGACTATAGACTAGACTATAGACTAGACTATAGACTAGACTATAGACTAGACTATAGACTAGACTATAGACTAGACTATAGACTAGACTATAGACTAGACGATAGACTAGACTATAGACTAGACTATAGACTAGACTATAGACTAGACTATAGACTAGACTATAGACTAGACTATAGACTAGACTATAGACTAGACTATAGACTAGACTATAGACTAGACTATAGACTAGACTATAGACTAGACTAGACTATAGACTAGACTAGACTATAGACTAGACTAGACTATAGACTAGACTATAGACTAGACTATAGGCTAGACTATAGACTACAACAGCGATCTATTTAATAAGGAAAATGTGATCATACTACCATGTGGCAACGCTATATACATATCAATTATTTTCGCCCTCCTTAAGGTATACTTCACATTTCAATTGAACCGATCTACACTAGTACTTTATCAATGAAATTACTGTTTTCTCAAATATTTCATTCAATTCGCATTACTCATTCACATCATTAAATTTTTAAAGTGTTTTTTTAAGATTTCGCCGACACTAACCATTTATAGTTATGCAAAAAAACAACAATAATATTTAATAATAAAACTCATAAACATAATAATACAAAATTAGTATTATTTGTTAAACAAACGAGAAATACAAAACCAGATAACACAAAAAAAAAAAAAAAAGAAAAAAACACACTACACACCTCATAATATTTGACCATGGCAATGTGCCTTGTTGTTTGTCCACCGCATGTATGGCACTAACCAAAACATGGCAATTGGATTCAGCATATTCCACAAAGACCAACAATAATTTTAATGCAGTCTTAACCACTGAACGATAATTTGAGGCGATTAATGAATAGAGCCACTGCATTGTGGGTTCATGTTTCATAACGCCATTCATGCCATCCACATAAAGCATCACCTGTGAAAAATGAAATTAACAAAACTTTTTTAATAGAAAATAAATTATAAAAAATGAATTAAATAAAAAAACACAAGTATAATTATTGATTAATGCGAGTTTTTAACTTTTGCCTTTGAGACGTATTTTGTTTTTTTTTTTCGACATTTAACATATAATTAACAAAATTTAATGTTTGCAATTAAGTGTAGCGCAATGTTGTGTGAAGATGTTTAAAATTATTAAATGCATCATAATAATATTAATAATAAATATAGGTTCAATGGTTTATTAGTAAAGAAAAAAAACTTAAAAATCATAACACGCAATTTGGTTTCGGTTTGAAAACTGTTTCAGTGTTTTATAATGGAATGATAGATCATTGAAATTAAATTTTTAAAAAATAATCATAAATATTTAGTAATTCATATAGCCACAGTGTATGTAGAATACTAGCTGGTTGTAGTACACTTACCTGGCCCAATGCACGCAATATATAATTTTGATAGTTTTGATCAGCACCATTACCAACACGCACCAAACAGTTGAGTCCTCCTAATGCCACAAAGGCATGCACAAGATCTTTATCCTCTTGGAAGACTTGTTTTAGTGAGATAAGGCACGTCTCAAATCACTTCCTTCAGCAGACAAGAGTTTTTCTAAAGAAAGAATGAAATTTTAAGTAAGACAAAGAATAACGAAAAAATTATGAGCTGAAGGAAATGGGATATATTTTAAAACTATCCTGTTTTTGTTTTGACTTGAGAAATGGCTACAGTCTTGGCTATGGATTTTACTATAATAGAATGGTCTATGGTCTCGAGTAAAGTCCTGGTTTTGATTTACGCTATATTCTTGGTTGTTGTCTGGACTATATTCTGGCTTATAGTTTCGATTATACTTTGGTCTATAGTCTTTACTATATTGCAGTCTATAATCCCGACTATAGTTAGATCCACAGTCTCGACTAAAGTCTAGTGTATAGACTCAACTGTAGTTCGGTTTATAGTATCGCAGTTATATTGGTCTATAATCTCGACAATAGACTGCAGATTGTCTCGAATATAACCTTGATCCTCTAGGGTAGGGTTAATAGTTTTGACTGCAGACTGATCTATAAGTTCAACAATTGATCGGAGATCGTGGGTTCGATTCACTTTGAACTACTAACTAACTAACTAACTAACTAACTAACTAACTAACTAACTAACTAACTAACTACTAACTAACTAACTAACTACCTAACTAACTAACTAACTAACTAACTAACTAACTAACTAACTAACTAACTAACTAACTAACTAACTAACTAACTAACTAACTAACTAACGAACTAACTACTAACTACTAACTAACTAACTAACTAACTAACTACTAACTAACTACTAACTAATCTAACTAACTACTAACTAACTAACAACTACTAACTAACTAACTAACTAACACTAACTAACTAACTAACTAACAACTAACTAACTAACTAACTAACTAACTAACTAACTAACTAACTAACTAACTAACTAACTAACTAACTAACTAACTAACTATACTAACTAACTAACTAACTAACTAACTAACTAACTAACTAACTAACTAACTAACTAACTAACTAACTAACTAACTAACTAACTAACTAACTAACTAACTAACTAACTAACTAACTAACTAACTAACTAACTAAACTAACTAACTAACTAACTAACTAACTAACTAACTAACTAACTAACTAACTAACTAACTAACTAACTAACTAACTAACTAACTAACTAACTAACTAACTAACTAACTAACTAACAACTAACTAACTAACTAACTAACTAACTAACTAACTAACTAACTACTAACTAACTAACTAACTAACTAACTACTAACTAACTAACTAACTAACTAACTACTAACTAACTAACTAACTAACTAACTAACTAACTAACTAACTAACTAACTACTAACTAACAACTAACTACTAACTAACTAACTAACTAACTAACTAACTAACTAACTAACTACTAACTAACTAACTAACTAACTAACTAACTAACTAACTAACTAACTAACTAACTAACTAACTAACTAACTAACTAACTAACTAACTAACTAACTAACTGACTGACTGACTAACTATAAATATACTCTTCTGCATAGTCTCCTCTGAAGTGCAGACTGCTTTCCAGTCTGGTCCACAGTCTAGTCCACCCACAATAGTCCGGTCAATATCCTGGTTATAAACTCCACTTTAGCTATGATTATATCATGATTTTAGGCTTGTCTACAATCTCGACTATACATAGTGTTAACGATCCTTCACATTCTGGCATATAGCCTGTCCAACAGTTCTGTCAATATCCTGGTCTACAGTTCTGACTATAGTCTAGTCGATTGTCTGGTCTATTCTTTGGTCTACACTCCAATTTATAGTCTGGTCTTGAGTCTAACTTTTTGTTTAACAATTGTCGGATCTACAGTCTCGACTTTAGTCTTATCTATAGTTTGGTGTATAGTTTGGTCGCCTACAATCTCGTTTAAGGTTTGACTATAAAATTGAGTTCAGTCGTGGTTATATTCCCATCTATAAGGACCACTATACTCTGATTTATATTCTAGTTTATAGTGTGTCATAATGTATTGATTATCATCTGGTCAAAAGCATCGACTACGGTCTGATCTATAGTTTGCCTTATATTATTGACTATAGTCTGGTCTGTAGTCTAGCCTTTTCAATATTCTCAACTATTGGCTTGAATATAGCATGCTATATAGTAGGAACTTTATTATAGTCTGGTCTATAATGTTAATTATTGTATGGTCTATAAGTAGTCTCAATCATTTTCTGGTAGACCAGTCTCGACCATCGTGTTGAGCTTAGTCGAAACTCGCTTAACTATAGACGTAAGGGTATAATATAGTTGTCTTAACCTACTATAACCCTGCCACTTGTTTCGTAATTTTATTTGCCAATTACTTTCATTAACTCCCTTATTATACAATTTTTAACTGCAATTACTATTTATTTCGCTATTCAGTTCGAAAATTCCTAGAACTGTCAGAAAATTTTGATATTAATCGTTTTATATGTTTCAAATCATCATCCGTATTGCATTGAAACTTAATTAATCATATTTAAAAAAAGTGAGAAAAAGAATAATAACAAAAAAAAAACAAATTTTAAACAAAACAATATAAATAATAGAAACTATTAAATCACACCAAAATAATAATAATATTTGGAATGAGATCATGCAATCATGAATGAGTACACTTGATTAAATATTTGTGTAACACGAACAAAAATAACAGGAAAAAATATACTGTTATACTTTGAAGTTAATTTTTTTAAATTATTGTAAAAATTTTGTTTATAAACAAAATATGTATGTATGTAAAAAAAATTGCTAGAATTGTAAAATAGAAATGGTAAGGTTTTTCCTTGACAAACGAGATAAAATTGATCGTACATAACTACTACTACTACTACTACATAAGTAGATATGTATGTAAATGTTATCTGTTAAGTCTATTTTATAGTATAGTCTCTATGCTTGTGCCTGTAGTATCGTTTGCTATATATGTATATTCTATATTGATCAAAATTCTAATGTGTTTGCGATCGATGTTTCATAATTGATCTCTCGCCTTTAGTCTCGATTAGGTCTAAACTAATCCTTTCACTCTATTCTTAATTGATCTAGTTGATTTCATATCGATCGCAATTCTAATAGAATAATGATCGATGTCCAATAATTTTGTCCCTGATCTTAAGACTCGATTAAGTCTTATCTTTAATCTGCTCTAAATTAATCCCTCCCTTATCTAGTGGATTGATCTAGTCTCATCACTATTGAAAGCACAAATATCAGGCGCCAATTTGAAAGTGTGTGGTAACAACTTTTAATAATAATTTAAAGAAAAAGTGAAAAAATATCTATAACCAATTAAGAAACAAAAGAATAAATAAATATTTATACTCATCAAATTTTTGTTAAACAATTCTTAAAATATACACAATAACAAACAAAATATTAAAAAATTTATAATAAATAATAAGAGGAATTTTAAATAACAATAATTAAGCGTTATAGATGAATGAATTTAGTAATACAAAAATTAAAATATTTGTATTATATTTTTTTCCCCAAACTAATGCCGATTGTTTATAATAAACAAATAAAGAATTCAAACAACAAAATTATTATGTTGTGAACACGATTTTTGAAAAATAAATGGATGAAAAAAAACTTGAAATAATTTGATATTTGGATATTTTTTTTATTTATTTATTATAACTCTGTACACTTACCAATAATCGCATGTACTCTGACACTCAACTGGGTGCGTACCACTAAAGAATTTTTGCGACTGAAATGAAGAAAAAAAATAATACAAGTTTATTATTAAACAAAAAAAAAACAAAAAGAATAGAAAAATAAATATAGCTTACAGATGTAGAAAAAAAATTATTACTTTATTATTATTAAATTCTTTATATTTCGTTCAATTCGTAGTTTATAAGAATTCGAGTTCACGTTTTGGTTCATTGACCACTTAAGAACCTCTTTAATTTAAAATTATTACGAGTAACTTTTTTTTTCATTTTCATTAACAATGATATTATTAATGATTGTCTAAAATAATAAGCTAAATAATAAATTTTAAAATCTATATAAAAACAATAATTAGAATTATTCTTGATAATTGGAAACTTGTTTTGTAAGTTGGAATTAAAAAAAAGAATCTCCTGGAAAAAAATAACAAAAACAAAGTGTAATTCAGCCACATGGTACAGTTCAATATCTTAATATTTGAACCATATTAGAGAGGATCACAGAATTTACATAATTTCAGATCGTTATATAAGTCTAGAGACCAAACTTAGGACTTTAATCTGGTCAATACTCTAATATTTTGATTATAGATAAAACTTTTGTGGAGACTATAGTCTGTATATATAGTCGAGATTATAAACCTATATAGATACATATAGCCAAATATATAGTTGATATATGCTCGAGACTGTAATCTGTTCTTGACTTTTTTATAGTCGACAGTATAGTCTGATCTAGAATTTTCAATACTCGAGAATATAGTCTAATCTATAGTCGAGAATATAGTCTCATCTATAGTCGAAACTACAGTTTGATCTAAAGTGGAGAATGATCTTCATACAATCGAGGCTATTGTAGGCTATGTATAGGTCAACAGTCGAGACGATAGTCTGACCTATAGTCGAGAGTAAGGGCTGATCTATAGTAGAGACTATAGTCGAGAGTATGGGCTGATCTATAGTCGAGACCATAGTCTGATCTTTAATAAATACTGTAGGCTGTTCCACAGTCTGATCTATAGTCGAGACTTAAACTGATTTATATTCGAGACTATTGCTAGATCTACAGTTGTGACTACAGTCGATAGTATAGTCTGATCTAGTATTATATCAAGTCGAGACTTTAGTCTTTTCTATAGTCGAGACTATGACTATGATCTGAGACTATTATCAGGTCTACAGTCAATAGTTTAGTGTGCTCTAGTCTAATATATAGTCAAGACTTTAGTCTAATCAATAGTCGAGACTATAGTCTGATTTATAGTTGAGAGTTGAGAGTATATCCTGATCTATAGTCAAGACTATAGTCTGATCTTTAAACGAGACTATAGACTGTTCTAGTATCTTATCGCCTGATATTTATGATCTATTCGAGACTATTTCAGGTCTACTGTCGAGACTACAATCGATTGTATAGTCTGATCTAGTCTAATATATAGTCGAGACTTTAGCATAATCTATAGTCGAGACTATAGTCTGATCTATAGTTGGATTATAGTCTGATCTATAGTAACGAATAAAGTCTGACATATTCTCAAGACTGTAGTCTTGTCTTTAGTCGAGACTACTGTCAGGTATACAGTCTGATCTATTGTCGAGAGTATTGTTTGATCTATAGTCCAGACTATAGTCTGATCTATAGTTGAGACTTTAGTCTGCTCTATAGTCGAGACTTTAGTCTGCTCTATAGTCGGAACTTCAGTCTGCTCTATAGTCGAGACTTAAGTCTGTTCCATATTCGAGACTATTGTCAGGTCTACAGTCGAGACTACAGTCGATAGTATAGTCTGATCTAGTTTAATATATAGTCGAGTCTTTAGCATAATCTATAGTCGAGACTATAGTCTGATCTATAGTTGAGACTATAGTCTGATCTATAGTTGAGACTATAGTCTGATCTATAATTTGATCATGGGTTATCTATATTCTGATCTTGTGTGATTCATAATCTGATCTTGTCTAATTAATAATTTGATCTTTTGTGATCTATAGAAGTGTTATAGTCTCGACTATGCTGTCTGATCTATAGACGATACAATATTCTAAGTTATAGTAGAGACTATAGTCTGATCTATAGAAGACTTTGGTGTGATCTATAGTGAAGAGTATAGTCTGACCTATAGTCAAGATTATAGTCTGACCTATAGTCAAGACTACATTCTGATTTACAATAGACTCTATGGTCTGGTTTCTTGTTTCGACTATTGTCTGGACTCTAGTTTCTGTAGCTAAAACTAATTAATGACCATAAGACGTGCACTTTTTTAATCTTCTAGCAAATATTCACAACAGCCTATTAAAATCATCCATATTATTCATTAAAACTCTTTAAAGTGTTTATCAAACAAAGTTGTTTTTTTTTTTTTTTTTTTGCATAAACTTTTCTTTAACTACACACCGTAATTATTCACATGCCGGCATTAAAATTTAAATACTTAAGCTAAACGAATAGATAATCCTGATTACAATATTTCTTTTCGCTTTAACTATTTATTTTTTGTCTCTTTTCATCTGTTGCTTTCTGGGCATGAATGATTTAAACCGAAAAATATGTTAAATAAAATTTATAAATTGCAAAAAAAAATCCACTAGATTTGCATGTCGACCACTACAACTATGAAATATTTGACATTCATGGCCTGTTAAAATAACTTGAAAAACTACAACTGGAGCTACAAAGTGTAGCAGCTATGTATATGGGTATGGTAAAAGGCTATATGCAGCCTTTAAACTGTTTATGCTTAAATATTTTACTAAAATTTTTTTGTTTCTATTTAAAACTGCACCATATAAGTGTGTAACTAAATGGTTTAATCAACTATTTTTAGTAAAACTTACACTGAGAAAATAATGTAAAAGGAAAGCTAATTCTTCAAGTTTTATAACGGCTTAACCTTTTTCTCTAAGTGTAGTTTATCCTTTTTTTTTTAACTTGATATTTATAATAACATCACGTTTCATTTGCAGTTGTTCTTCATTATTATTATTTTTTGTTGTTATTGTTGTTGGTGTTTTGTTTTTATTGTATTATGTTGTTATTGTTGTAAGAAAATATCTTCAACAATGTCAGACATTAATTTGTTTTTGCAACAAAGTACTAAAGATAGATTACTTTCATATGTTAATTGTATTATCAAAAGAGATCAATTTTATATATGACCTATTTCAGGGTCATATATCCAAATCCGTGTTCTTTACTCATTTATATATCAAGTTGTTAATTCTCTAATAAATATAAATTTCTCGACTATAGTCTTTTCTGAAGAGGAGATTATTATCTATATGCGAGATTTTAGTCTGGTCCATAGTTTTTATAATAAATAGGACAATCTTGGCTATAATTTCAACTATAAGATAGTCTGTAATCCATACTATAGACTTGTCTGTAGTACAATCTATAGACTTGTCTATATTCCACACTATAGACTCGTCTATATTCCAGTCTGGAGTCCAGTCTATACACTTATTTATAGTCCAGACTATAGACTTTTCTATAGTCCAGAACATAGTCTATTCTGTAGTCCAAACTATAGTCCAGTCTATAAACTTTTCTATAGTCCAGATTATAGACTTTTCTATAGTCCAGACTATATACTTTTATATAGTCCAAACTATAGACTTTTCTATAGTCCAGATTATAAACTTTTCTATAGTCCAGATTATAGACTTTTCTATAGTCCATAGATTATAGACTTTTTTATAGTCTAGACTATAGACTTTCAAATAGACCAGTCTATAGTCCAGACTATAGATTTTTCTATAGTCCAGATTATAAAATTTTCTATAGTCCAGATTATAGACTTTTATATAGCCCAGACCATAGAACTTTTATAGTCCAGATTATAGAATTTTCTTTAGTCTAGATTATAAACTTTTCTATAGTGCAGACTATAGACTTTTCTATAGTCCAGACTATAGACTTTTCTATAGTCCAGACTATAGACTTTTCTATAGTCCAGACTATAGACTTTTCTATAGTCCAAACTATAGACTTTTCTATAGTCCGGACTATAGACTTTTCTATAGTCCAGACTATAGACTTTTCTATAGTCCAGTCTATAGACTTTTCTATAGTCCAGTCTATAGACTTTTCTACATTCCAAACTATAGTCTTTTCTATAGCCCAGTCTATAGACTTTTCTATAGTCCAGACTATAGAATTTTATATAGACCAGTCTATAGTCCAGACTATAGACTTTTCTATAGTCCAGACTATAGACTTTTCTATAGTCCAGACTATAGACTTTTATATAGACCAGTCTATAGTCCAGACTATAGACTTTTCTATAGTCCAGATTATAAACTTTTCTATAGTCCAGATTATAGACTTTTATATAGTCCAGACTATAGACTTTTCTATAGTCCAGATTATAAACTTTCTATAGTCCAGATTATAGACTTTTCTATAGTGCAGACTATAGACTTTTCTATAGTCCAGACTATAGGCTTTTCTATAGTCCAGACTATAGACTTTTCTATAGTCCAGACTATAGACTTTTCTATAGTCCAGATTATAAAATTTCTATAGTCCAGATTATAGACTTTTCTATAGTCCAGATTATAGACTTTTCTATAGTCCAGACTATAGGCTTTTCTATAGTCCAGACTATAGGCTTTTCTATAGTCCAGATTATAGAGTGGTCTTTAGTCCAGATTATAGACTTGTCTATAGTCCATAGTACAGACTTGTCAGTAGTCCACACTACAGACTTGTCCATTGTCCAGACTATAGACTTGTCCATAGTTCAGACTATAGGCTTGTCTATAGTGCTTACAGACTTGTTTATAGACCAGACTATAGACCAGTCCATTGTCCAGATTAAAGACTAGTCCATTGTCCTGACTATAGACTCGTCTGTTGTCAAAACTATAGACTTGCTTATCCTCCAGTCAATAGATCTGTCTATAGTCCATGTTAAGAACTTGTCTATAGTCCAGGCTATACAATTGTTTACTGTCCAGGTTATAGACCTAAATATCTATAGTCCAGACAATAGAACTGCCTATTGTCCAGACCATTGACTTGTATATAATA